AATGTTTTGCTATTGTTGCTAAGAATTTTACGTTAGTAACACATCTTTCTGGACAAGAAGAAATGTGACGTAACTGATAACGTCGTACAAACATTAACCACAAAGACTGTCTATGGCTACAATCCAGCTCTGTTTTGAGTTCTTTCGGTGTATTGTTGATGTCTTGCAGAGTAAATTTTCAAACAGTCGATCAGCATTGCAGTATTCTGCTTGCAGAATTTAATATGTCTACAAAACGTCGCAAATCCATCATCTTGAAATTGGGAGGCAGCCATCTTCATTTTTAAATCCGCAGTTGCAGATAACAATGAAGTTAGCAAAAATAAAGCGTTTTATATTTAAGAAAATTTGAAGGTTTTCCTGTCACCCCGTTAAGTTATGATTAATCAAACTTAACTCGGCTCGTTGTGCCCTCTCCTCCAGATTAAATAACGTGGAAAATACAAAAACGAGTTGCAATATAATATTTTCTTCAACATAACGCAGGTTTTATTTACGATGCACGTAAAAATGAATACGACGCAATCAAATCTGCTGTCAATCGCACGAGCGCCACCAGTAACGTTTCCATAGCATTAAACATTTTTGACGTCTCTTCAGAGAAGAGCCTTTTTGACCAAGGTAAGTTATCAAGGTTAACTTTGCCATTGAACGTGGAGATAACATTGGCTTTAAAGAAGCAGTGTTACCAATTTTTTCAAGGTTCTAACAGTATGAACTGCCACCAAACTGAGGGAAACATAAAAGTAATCACTCAAAACATTAAAAGAAGATATTAATAACAAAGCAAATACAAAATTAGGCACGGATGGACAAACTTAAAGAATAATAAAATGGAGTGAAATTATGGGAGGGGGTAACGTTTTAGTGCCTTACGGCCATTTGCTTGTCTAAAGATTTGTTTTGGTGGACACTGCCGGCTAGACCATGAAACACGCGCAAATAATAGACATCTAACAAAAATGGACAATCATGACGTACTCACGCAGTAAAGTCCTCTATCACTTAACATACAGCCCCTTTTTTCAAGAAATACAAGGCCACCAAAAAAAGCACATAAATACTAGTACTTACCCCAAAGCCGACGAATTGTACGTGAATTCTCGAGGTTTTATACGAATAGACTCTCGTTAAGAAAAATCATAATATCTTTTACCCTAAATATGGATGTGTTCACAATTTATTTCCTATCTTAAGTGGTTTGCTGCCACTTTGATTTCATTTAAAATCGGTTCGATCTTTCAGATTTTGTTTAAATCATCATCAACTTTATTTCTAGCCATTGGTGTGTTCCTGCAGCAAAACATTACGGTACTGATTGGCGGGAGTCAATCGGAGTCGCACGCATGCTCACTGTCTACAGTTACTGGGATCCCTCTTATTCGTCTCTATGAAAGACTTATACCATTTAATCAGTGCAATAAAACAGTGGATATGTCAGTGGACTACAGATACTTTGCGCATGCCACATCTGACGTTCTGGCCAGCTTTCACTGGAGGAAGATTTCATTAGTGTTTGATGGTAACCAAGAGTGTCTTAGGCCCCTTCTATTTAGAGGAAAGTTGCCCTGAATGGAAAGGTCACCACTGCACGAAAAACCGGATTTACAAAAATTTGCTCGGGCAAATAAGGTGCAAAAGAGTGCAAAGTAGGAGAAAATCAAAGGCCAAGATGGTAAATACCACATTTACTTTCTAGTTTACATAGGGTTGAAAATTCGAGGGCCAATGCGATATATACGTACATCTTTGCCCTTGAATTAACCGTAGTTTGCACTTTTTTGCACCATGTAAATGAATCGGCTAGAAGAGTGACCAGCCTAGCCTGGTCAGCCTTTAGTGGTGGTACTAGTGGGTCACTTTCCTAACCAGGCCAACTTTTCTCCATATATAACAATGTGGATCGCCCAGCCGGATCAATAAGGTCAAGGTAGGACAATCAGAGCATGTGCAAGCGCTGTTGTAGACAACCAAATCAAGTGCAGAGCATGCACGAGCGCTGTTGCAGCCAAAAGGGACAAATTTTGTCATATAAATTATTAAACGCGCGCTAAAGTTGACTCTGCTGTGAGTTAGGGTGACCCTTCTACTCAGAACAGATTTACTCCATATAAACGGGACCTAAGTATTATCCAGCATTATTTTCTGATGACGCAAATTTCTGATAAAATGTGATGTAATTGTTAGTGAGATTATTCGTTTGCAGCTGTAATTAGGACTACATTTATGCTAAAGCTTTTCCGCAAAACCGCCTATTCCATAGATGAAACATTGAACGGCTTCCTTATGTATGACATTCATGTCTGTAACTTCTACAGAAATCGATTACTTGATGCTGGTTACTTCTACGCAACTTTCCAGAATTCCAACTTGGCCATGAATTTAGTCCAGCTTGCAAACGGAAGGACAAGTGAAGAACAGAGAAAGGCAGTTTTGAAAGCTACTGAGGAAATAACAAAATTTGGTCCTGAAGTGATTCTGCTTTACACGAGCAAAGAAATAGCCCAACTACTGTTGCAACAGGTAAGATAAAAAACTTTGTCTATTCTCATTCGCGTAAAATCCGCCGTATGACGAATTAATCCGTTGGATAGCCGAATGCTCCCGTATAAGGCACTCTGTTGGCCATAACTGTCCCCAGGAAAGCTCTCTAGGCCTTTCATTCATCGACTAAGGCAACTAGGAAACCTTTCAAACCGGTTAAACCCCCTATTAATATATAGCAAATGACCTTAACTTTAATGTTATTCCCCTCACTCTCCTCTAAATCTCAGTTTGACCCAACAAGAAAACACACAATCCTTAGGTGCGGCTCGCTTTAAGCCAAGCGCTCGGTTTATTCTCCGAAAAGACTAAAATATACAGGATATATCATAGAAAAGTAATATACAATCCAAGTAACATTCATCACTAAAGAACTAAATCACAAGCTAACTGAAATGGGGTCGTGGAACAACAACTGCACCTAGGAGGAAAACCCCAGGCCAGCTGTACCCCATAAACAGCGGTCTCCCGGGCAAGACCAACTAAATAGAAACTAGAATAAATTAAAAAGCGGTACGAACGAGAAAACTAAATACTTAAAGCCTTAGAAATCGACAAACGTGAAGATAAAGAATCTTGGACATACCCGACCTTAGCCGATTCACTTGCCAAGCGGCCATGACGCTTAAAAAGTCGTACGCCAGTATTTGCAGCAGCAGTAGCCCCGCCACTCCTAAGGCTATGGGTACCAATGGTAGAAATATCAGGTACAGTGTCTTTAAAAGCCTCTAGCACTAATCCTCTTAACCTTGAATAGCTTAAACCTTTAGATCTAGGTTTATATCCACATTTAGTTTTGGAAAGCTGGCACGAGCGAGCCTAAGAATGGGTTGACGATTTGTAAAAAGGTTTATTGTTTAGGTTCCTCCGCCTCCGCACACACGTACACAAACCTCATACTAATAACCTTTATACAATTGAGATGTTTACAGTATTTATGAAAAATTAAAAAGAGGGCCATATTATAATCCATTTCGTAAAGTTCAGTGGTTCCTAGCTACAGTGTGTATTTTGTTTACTTGAGATAAGAAAAGTGAAAATAGCTTGGCGTTTTAATCTCTATTTATAGGTACCCTGTGATCTGAAGAAATACTACAAATGGATACTTCAAGAAGAGGTTTGTATTTACTGTGACATTGCATCAAGTATTACTTCCTGATGAACCTTTTTCAGAACGTTACTGAGGGAGTAAGCGACTCGAAGAAATGTTTGAGATTCAGGCAAGTTCTTTTCAATCCTCGGCAAACAATGAGGATATTGCCTCCAGCAAGAACACTTCGTTTTCCAAGAGTCTTCCAAAACTTTCAACCAGTGAACGCCTCGGTACACTCCGACTATATCGCTAGGGCTCCAAACGCAACTGAAAAAGTATGGTAGCATTATTATCCAGTTGAAGAAACCTTTCAAAGGGCTTTCACCCATCATACCTATGTTTTTACCCGACTAGTCACTCGAGACCCAGCTGGAGAACTCGATATCGGGGATCAAGACCGTCTGCGACACGGGCTTATCGATCATTGCAAGGTGTGATTGAGAAATCTGTCGAGCCACCGAAATGCTCCATTTTAATTTTTTTAACCGGTTAAAGAGATACCCCGCATCGCCATACTTACGCTATCAGGAAAATGATCAGTGGCGTCACCTTTTTTGGTCTTTCATTCACACGGATTATGCAATCCACAAAAAAAACAGTATTCCGTCTTGTAGGAAACAACGTCTGATACCTTGCTATAGCAATAAAGTTCCTCGGTAGCATCGAAAAGTAATAGCGAATTGTTGTGAGCACTTTAAAAGGTTTTACGACACATAATAAAACAATATCTCTGAATACCTTTTTACTTTTTACTCAGGTATCCTTCAACCTCGCCAGTCTCCCAAACAACGTCGTTTTTGCTTTTAAGCTCCCATACATACCTGATACAATTCCTGGCATTAATCTCCAGAATTTCAACGAGGTAAGCTACAAATGCGTGACGCCAAAGTCCTAAGAACGTCTGCGTAAAAGGCCATTTGAACCTGCTTGTCCTTATTTGTTGTACCTTATTAATTTCTTTGTAAAAATGCCAAGTAATAGCTCTTTCGGTAGCGGAGCTCCTGCGTGAAAATTAAAGCGGGCGCAGCGGAGCAAAATTTGGTTACCTATGCATTCAAGAAATTTTCGCTGTAACAAAATCGTCCCCTTTTGGTGTTAAACTGATGATATAACTGTAATTTAAGTGAGTCACGGGGCTCAAATTCTGATGAAAACAAACTCTTTTGAATAACTTCAAAATTAGCTCCTTGATGCATGCTTATGAGTTGTTTCATTAAACCAACAGTCGAGTGTGGCTGTTAGCACAAAGAAACAACAACATCAAAAATGAATGCACGATTATTGTAGAAATATAGCGAGTTATTAAGCAGTAATTAGCAGTTTTTGTAAAATCTCCTTCTGTAGGATCTTACTGCTGTTCAGGCATATGATGCGGTCCAAGTCATTTACCGAGCATTGAACACGGAGCCGTGCTTATGGCTAAACGAGTCTAGTAACAATCAAAGGGATAAAGATCTTATATTTAACTGCATGACAAAGGTACTGACTTCATATATCCTTATTAGTTTTGAAGTTCTTAAAAATACGTCCATGGCTGATTCTCAGTTTTTTACTCCTTGAGTAGCTTAATCCTCCTCGTCAAGGATCGACTTAATTTTCAACTTCACTGGAGGACCCATTTTCCCAATGTTCTGCAGGTGGCCTAAAAGTAAGGATAAGTGACGCTAATCTAGGGGAAAACGAACGCAAGAACCTAGAACATGCCACCTTGTAAAAACTGTTTAAAGCTACATGAAAAGCACTGGTCAGTAACATCCTTTTTGTTCCCTGCCATGAAAAAAGGCCACCCATGTCCTTATTGGAAGATAATTCCTACTAGTCAATAGGAAACCTCACAACCTGGCCTTTAATCGATGAATTAGTTGATTGACTGATTGATTGATTAATTGATTGATTGTTTGATTGATCGATTGATTGATTGATTGATTAATTGGTTAATGGATTGATTGATTGATTGATAGATTGATTGATTGATTGATTGACCGATCGATGGCCCAAACTTTGTACGGCATCCGCGTAGGAGAAGTCGTGTTCAGTTCCAGAAAATAAAGTTCTGTCAAGCACTCTCTTCAGAGAGATGCCAACTTTTTCATGCAAATTTAACCATAACCATTGTTTTCTTCTTTGTTTAAGGTTGATATCGCTGGCATAACTGGTCCTGTCCAGTTTGACGAAAACGGAAGGCGAATAGTCTCGCGACTGGAAATCCTTAATCTCCGCAACGACTCCTTCAAAAGGGTAAGTAGTACGAAGGATATGAATAATCCTTTTTTTTCAGTTCAGACTGAGTTTTTTTAAAACGAAAGTCTCTCGACTGGATATCAACTACAATAGATATTCGCAAAGGCTTCTTTAAACGAGTAGGTAGTGTAGATCTAAATCTCCCCGTTTTGCTCAGCGCATTAACTTCTTTTAATTCGAAGACTGAGTTTTTATTACTATTAACTTTGTTGATGTGTTGATGATCAAGCCCAATTCGTAAAGGAACATGACATCGCAAATTGAATCTTGCCGCATTTCCACGCGGAGGCTGATACCTTTCCAGTAAACCAATAAAGCTATTAACTACAAACATGGCCTGTGTCTTAGGTTTTATAGATATTTCAATATATGATTTTTGAGGCAATTAATAGCATAATAGTTAAGCTATATGTGAAAGAAAACTAACAGGTAGTGGTTCGTTAATTTATGTAAACTTATTTGATTGTTTTTTAGATAGGTTCGTGGAATACAACTAAAGGTTTGGTGTTCTTTGATAAAATATCGGCTAATGCAGTGGAGAATTCCTCTTCAAATGGGAATAGACTAGAAGGAAGGACGTTCCGGATTGTCACGGTTGAGGTAAAAACGATTGCTAGAATATTTAAGACCTCGAAGTGTTTTCTAACAACTTTGCTCTTCGGGTCGCTTAAATGATTCCAGTATGGTAAGCTCTTCTTTTTACATCATCATCGCTATTATGATCTTAAAATTCCCATTTATGTGATCTCTCATCATCATTTTTAAGCAATCGGTATTTTTGTATAAAACAGAAAAAAACACAATTTATTTTAACCTTGTATTGAACTTGTATTATCATCCTTCTCCTTCTCATCATCATCATCATTGGGAGCTTAAACAGAGGGGTTTCTGAGCAACGCTGGAAGTGAGACCATTTCTCTTTTTTAAATTAATCCTTGATGCTACCGAATTTGTACTGCTATAAAGTGTCATTACTCCTACAGAGACCATTTCCCTGAAAATTTGGGTAAAACCACTGCCCAAAGAATGCAAAAATTACGCTTCCGGTTGACGGGCTTCGCTCAAAACGTGTTTGCTTAAACATCCTATTATCATCACCACCACCACCACCACCACCACAATCACCATCATCATCGTCACCACCATTGTCTTGACTCATACCGTTTACTAGTGAACAAACCAAAAACTTGTTTTCGTGTTGATAATTGTTATGTTTTTATTTTTACAAATGTTAAACAAGGAGCCTCCTTTTGTGATGGCTAAGAAGAACAAGAATGGGACCTTTCAATATGAAGGATACTGTGTAGATCTGATTAACGAACTGGCAAAAATCCTTAAGTTCAAGTACGAATTCTACCCCTCCCCGGACGGCAAATATGGCGCCAGAATGGAAAATGGGACATGGGATGGGATGGTCCGTGAGATTTTGGATGGGGTTTGTATGGATTAGATCATATTTAACGCAAAATTGTAGGTATGATTTTAGGATCATTCGTGTTATGTTTTTTAAAAATATGGATGCTGGGAGTGGCCACCAGTATGACCATTGCTTTTCCCGCGTTACAGTATTTTCACTCGGGGGGTACTCCCTATAATGGCCTATATGGGGAGACTCCGACCGCGAAAGGGGTACCTTTTTCAGGCTTCAGGTACATGTATATGTAAGGATTTTACTAGTTACAGTGTACGGAAATGTGTCATTTCGGTCTGTAACGAGGCCTAAAAGGACTAACAGATGCATTTTATGACCTTGAAAAGCTCAAGAAACCGTTCTGGTTTTCTGATGTATTCAGATTTTTATAGCCAGTACATTTGAATCCGTTAAAAGGGATGTAAAGTTCTAAGCTAGGTATGTCAAAGGGGTACTATTTGTCAGAAGAAGGTATATAAAAGTGGCACCTTTCAGTCAAAAATGGTATATGAAAGGATAAGGGGTTGGACCTCCGGGCGGAGCCTCGCCGTAAAAAATTGGCTGAGTACCCCCGGGGTATTTCAGGTAATTTCTCTTTTGCATCCAGAGCCTGTGATGCGCTCTTCATGAGAATGCAAACATGAAGGCCATAGAAGGAGTATTGAATATATGAAAATCATTTATTGGAACTGCCGGACGGATTAAGCTTTCAGTAAGACATGACCAGTTGTTGGCTTATCAACTCAACTAGTACGTGGAGCACCGGTATCGTAGAATTCAAGGGTTAGAATTTCGCGCAAACCTGAATTTTTTTCAGGCTCCCTTTTCACAACTACAACAGTTGCGTTCATAACTCAGTGATGATGTTCCTTAATTTTAATGAAGGCTATAGTCCAGTGTTGATCCAGTGACCACCCGTTATACTTTTTAACACTAAGCATGGCGGCTGCCACCACGAGGATTTCATCTAATGCACTGAAAGTTCGGATCCATTTACATCTTGATAATTTATGCTTATATTACTACACACTACTGCTTTCAGTGGCATTTTAAACAAATATTATAGAATGCTGCGCAATGTAGAAGCGTTGCACCTGGGAGCAAAAAAGAACCGATGGTTGTAAAATTAAAAATTGTACCGGCATGTTTCTTTTCTTTTTCCCGAGTGGTTTTTCTCTCGGCTTCTCAATACTGTTGTTTTCTCCTCAGAAATCAACAGTTCCACTTGAAACGAAATTCCAATTTAATCAGGGAAACAGTGAGGTAGAATATTCGCCTAATAAAATTCAATAGCACGAGCGTGCTTCATGTTCCCATTGTGCACACTGATGACTGATAAACAAGACTCGAGTTCTTGTGAGCTTAGCAATCCTCCTGAGTGCAACCTTAAATCAATAGTACACTCTGAAGCATTTACTATGTGTTTTATAGCGTAAATATTATAGAAAACTTTTGAATTTTTCAACCGATAGTAAGAAAATGAGGTGAGTATTGTTTTTGTTGTCATCTGCGCAAGCTCTTCGGGGTGTGGCGTGTGTTAATAATTCTTGGCAAAGTTTTTTCACGCCTTGAGCAACTATTACCCTCTTTCGTGCTCTCTAAACTTCGCAAATGCATATCTCGACATAAACACGTTGACTCATGAACCAAAGGCTAATTAATCATTCATTTTCATCTATAGAACGCAGACATGGCAGGAGCAGCAATATCTGTGACGGAACAACGCGAAAAAATGATGGATTTTAGCGTTCCGTTCATGTACTACACACAGGATTTGATCATGAAGAAGCCTTCGTCTGGAATCAAAGCAGTAGACTTGTTACAATTCACGACCCCATTTGAAAATCTGGTTTGGTTTTGTACTCTAGCCACCTTAGTGATCACCTCTATCGCAGTATTTGTATTAAACTATTACAGTCCCTATGGATATAAAAATGAAAATGGTGAAGGCACTTCCGACGAATTCAGCTTTTTCAACAGTGTGTGGTTTGCAATAGCTTGTATGCTGCAGCAAGGTGGTGATAACACACCAAGAAGTTTGTCAGGTAGAACAAAAAAAAGCGTCAACTTCTCAACGTTTGAATCCCTTTTTAGAGGCAAATATTGCTGGTTTTAAGTTTCACTCCCGTTCAAAATGGATCAAAATCAAAATCAAAACCGTTCAATAGATAAAGTCCAGAATCTGGGGAATGAAAGGAGGTACATATACAAAGACCCTCGCCAAGATTCAGGTCAGAGGAATATCTCGTATACGAGATATCCGAAGAAATGTTTTACTCAAACTAATAGAGATTTGTATGGAGACGCCCTGTTGGTGCTCACCTGGATGAGCTCCAACATGGCGGACGGAAACCAACAGAAACATATGTAACCGAGTTTTGCTACAAAAGCGTGAATTTATTCTTCGAGAAACTCTTTAACATTAAAATAACACTTTTTCTAATACATGAACTGTTTACATAGCAAAATTATTCCTGAAATAAGTCATTTCTTTAAACCAACAATATTTTAACATTTAAATAACACTTTTTCTAATACATGAACTGTTTACATAACAAAATTATTCCTTAAATAAGTCATTTTTTTAACCAACATGACAGCTTCGTTGCTTACGCTCCCTACTGTCAGTCCTAAGACGTGGCTACCTTACTCAGATTTCTTAGAATTTCAGCGTACAAATTTCATGTCAATCTTTCTGCAGGTCGTATTCTTACCGGATGTTACTGGTTCTGCATTGTTGTCTGGGTCTCAACATATACCGCTAACCTAGCGGCTTTTCTTACTGTCAAAAATGCAGCCCACCCGATTAAAAGCGTGGACGACATTGCGCAAACTTCCCATCAAGTTGGTGTAGTTGCATCTACCAGTATACAAGAGTCGTTCGCGACCACCCAATATGAACCTCACGTAAAGATTTGGCAGCGAATGAAAGCAGAGCAAACATTCGTCCGGAACACTTCTGATGGAATCCTACAAGTGAGAGAAAGACCAAGCTTTGTGTTTATAAATGATGGCCCTATTCTTGAGTATATTGCCAACCACCGTCCATGCGACCTAATGACAGGTATGTAAGGTCCCGTTGGATCAAGATGGCTTGCATGACAGCCCAAGCCTTACCCACTGGTTATTAACCGGGACAAAATTTGACAGTGACAGTGACAGTGATTTTTTTGTCGGAACACTTTCTGAAAGCTTTTATTATTACTTACTCAATAACCAGAAATAGTGCCGTCCTCGAGAAATTCTCTTATTAGTTCTTATTCAATTTCAATTTTAATCTCATTGTCACTCAAGTGGGTGGGGAGGGGGTTGGGCGCTTATTTGAGTTTGATTGGGAGGAGGGGGTGTGGTTTGGGGGTGGGGAGTGAGCACTTATTGGGAAAGCTCCAGCATATGGGTATCACAAGCCGAAAAAAAAAAACCTCCGTTTACCGGTTTAATCCTCTCTCAAGAAAGACACGATGAAATTTTACAAAGTAAGTAAAGGTGGGGCAAGATCATCGTCAACCAATACAGCCAGTCTACCCGGGCAAACAGCAAATCAGGGATCTTTTGTGCTTTATTTGAAGAGCGGTATCTCCAGAACGCTTTCCAAAAGTCATACCAGCCGGCCCGACCAAGGCCTTACCAAACCTTTTTGAAAATGAAATACGTTTTTAACAAGAGTTTTTGATGAAAAATCACCTCTTTCGTGCATACTAGCGATTCAGGATTTGACTTGTCTGGCTGGATAGTTTTGATTAAAGGTGAAATTCTCATTACGACGGGAATGGTCTAGCCGGTCGACAATAATGTAAAGCGCCCTTAGTTATACGCTCAAACAGTCGTTATTGCTTAATCTGAATCCTATGGTTGAGAGAATTTCCAGAACAATATGACAAATAAGCTTCATTTTCCATCCAGTTCCAGGTCTCAGTAGAGCCAAGGGACTGGCGCTCGGTTTTCAAGCTTATGATCCACATACTATGGATTTTTCTCTGGCCATTTTGCGTCTTCGTGAAAATGACTTCCTTGATAATTTGAAGCGAAAGTGGTGGGACAAAGCCAATCAATGTCCCAAAGAACAGGAAACAAGTGAGTTACACAAGAAATTGTACAAATTTGTTTATCCACGAAACCCTTGAGAGCCCTTAAACCTCTAATCAATCAAACGTAGCGGTTTGTAATCATTTTAAGGTGGCAAATTGCCTACAAGTGCAGCTGTCTCTCCTCCTTCCTTGCTCCGCCATGGATCTTTTGAGCAAGAGATGTCCATAAAATGTACAAGTTGATAATTTCCATAATAAAAAGTTCTCGTAGCCACATAATGATAACTGCAACTTCAAGAAAGTAATTAAAAGTGGTGCCATATTGCCAAATAGATCTTTGTGCTAAAAATAGCCTTAATAGGTCACGTGACAGTTAGTGACTCCAATCATCATTCAAAGTTGTTAAACTTATACCCAGGAAGTCTGTTCTTAATTTATTTTAAGCTATATTGAAAGCTTAAGAATTTAGATCACCCTCTGTTTTTGAGGAATTAAATAGAAGACCCGCACCGTAATTTTAAGGAAGTTATTATAACTCCAAAAATGAAGTAAAAATATTAGGTACAGGATAACCCCTTTTTGGGGGGCTTTAACTCCTAATTTAACTCCGAATTTGGGGTCATTTTCACTCCTGAAAAAGAGTTCTTTTTACTCCCGATCTGGAGTTGAAATAACTCCGAAATGAGGTTACTTTTACTCCTTACATGGGTTGTTTTTACTCTTTTTGGAGTTAATTTAACTCTGAAAGTGGAGTAAAAATTTTAGGTACCAGATAACTCCTTTTTTGGGGGTTATTTTAACTCCTCAATATCTGGGGTCACTTATACTCCTGAAAAATAATTTTTTAAACTCCTTTTTGGAGTTAAAATAACTCCCCAAAAAATAACTCCACTGTAAGGCGTTAAATTAGCCCCACTAGAGGAGTTATTATAACTCCTTGAAAATTACTGTGATTGCCTTAATTTTCTTGAGTGTTCGGTCAAGATGGATGGATATTGGCCTCGCTCTTTCTAACGCTTTTACTCACCTCGAATTTCTCTCGGTCCAAAATAAAAAGGGCTTGGCCAATGTCCAACCATCTTGACTTCACTTTTGGTCAAAAACCCTTATTTCTTTTCATTCTCTTCCTCCCTTCCTTTCTTTTTTTCTTTTTGGCAGCGTTGTCTCAAAAGCGGATCGATTTACCCAGTATGTTGGGAGTGTACGTCGTCATGGGCTGTGGGATAACTGCAGCATTTATAACGTTGATTGCAGAGATCTTCTGGGAAAAAATGATGAAGAAACGAGAGAGTAAACCCTCATGTTTTAAAAGGTACAAGGTTATCGTTATTAAAGTCCGGCCAACCGGGAAATCTCCTTTTCTTATTTATTAATTAATATTTTTTTTTTTTTTTTTTTTTTTTTTTTTTTTTTTTTTTTTTTTTTTTTTTTTTTTTTTTTTTTTTATATTTTTTTTAAAGTTTTTTATTTTTTTTTTTTTTCTTTTTTTTTTTTTTTTTTTTTTTTTTCTTTTTTTTGTTTTTTATTTTACTTAAAAAATATTTTTTTTTAGGTTGGGGTGACTGGTGGTATTTAAATGTTGTTTTGCTAGATTTTTTGTGAAAAAAAGGTGGAAGAAAGGGGGGGTTAAACCTTCATTTTTAAAAAGTTAAAAGTTTTTTTTTTAAAAAAAAAGAAAAAAGGGAAAATTCCTTTTTTTTTTTTTTTATTTAATTTTTTTTTTTTTTTTTTTTTTTTTAGTGTTTCACTTTTTTCAATTTTTTAGTTATTTGTTTACTTAAATATAGCTTTTAAAGTGACTCACATTTTTATGATATCTTGATATCTTTTAATTGTCTTATTTTCATCTTATCGCCTGTAATGCTCATACGAAAATATTTCTGTTGAATATTAGCAGGATAAGTTTCATATTTATTATTATTTATTATTTTTCATAGGTCAGTCGGCTCAAGCCCTACCATAATTTCTACAAGCATCTGACTGGAATTGAACCACTCTTAACAAGGATTAATGTGGATTCTGTTTACGCGAATTAGTCAATTTTATTTTTTACTGTCGCGAATACTTGGCACAAAGCGACTTTGATTTTCGTCGTCTCGGGTGGTTTGCAACCGGGTTTGCACCAACTTAACTAGGGATTACGCATAAACGGGTACAGGATTTATACGATGAAACCGCCATTCATGGGCCCCAATAAAATAAAGAAAAAAGTAGTTTTTGCGCTTCAGCCGCAAGTGTCAGTGTTGGGGCATTTTCGTCGATTTCTAGAAGTGTAAGATTTTTAAGTCGAATATTCATACGAAAGTTAGAATCTGCTGGCCAGCTTCTTTGGGCATAAAATCTGATTTGTTCATGATGCCGATGTAAACGAGAAATAGCGTTTAGGTTGTTGCTTCCAATTACAACGTAGTCCCTTCATTTCCTCAGCAGGGAAAATAGTGCGTACCTGAATTTTTTAAGACTGCTATACGAAAAAAATAATAGGATTGGAATTAATTCACTAACCTTGAGATTGGTGTACAATCAGCATACTTAAGTAACTCTCTATAAATCTAATATGAAATGAACAGACAACTCCTTGCATACAGGCTTTTATTTCTCATTGAAAGCAATAAAAGTTTTACCTTGATAAGCTGTTCATTGTGTCAGTCATTCAATAGCCTGCGTAGCTGGCGGTATTGTGTGGGTGCAAGATTAACGTTTTGGCGGCGGAGCCGTGTTCCAAAAAAAGGGAGTAGGGACGAGGCGGTTGAAATATTTCTCGCGGCTTGCCATCACATCTCACTCGACTATATTACAACGGCTCCGCCGCCACATCTCACTCGACTACTACACAATACCGCCAGGCTAGTCATTCAACCCATTTATCCCCGAATTCAACTCCATTTTCTTACTTGTCAGATAGAAAGGTTATACAAAATACGGCAAACTTTCCTTTAATTATAAGCCCTGGGCTCACACCACTTCAGGGAAAGATCTGAAGAAAAATATCCGCGCACTCTGATTTAAGCCCTGACCTAGAACCCTCAACACTCACAGAATCACGCCATACCATGGTTCGCAATGGTTCTGTCTATGTTTTAGAGGTTGGTTTTGGCCAATCCTTTATTTTCTTTGCCAGACATCAACTTGACACTTGGACTCTTGCCCCCCAGAAGACACGTGGTATGGCGTGATTCTGTGGGTGTTGAGGGTTCTAGGTCAGAGCTTAAATCATAGTTCATCAGAGCTTTCTCTAGTCCGCTACACAGCCGTTCTTAGAGTCGTCACGCAACGCTCCTCCCCACTGTGGGGAGGAGCGTTGCGTGACGACGCTAAAAACGGCTGTGTAGCTAGCCTGAGATCATGCCCTCTCCCTATTATCCCTTTATGTCTCTCACGGGAAGAGGGCATGATGCATTTTTTTGTCGGATCACATGTAAAAAAGCCAGAATCTGGACTTTTTTTTTCTGATTGGATAGGAAACAATACAGATGATTTGCGCTGTTCCAATTGGCCAAAATGCCGCCATCCGTTAGTTGTTGTTGATTTCAGTCTGCATTTTTGCTTGCGTCATGAGCAGTGAATACACACGCGAGTTCGTTATAAAATTTCTGCCGGCTCAGTTTTCTTGAATTTGAAGAATGCCTAAATAGAAATTTCACAATTGAAATGTTTTCCATCTCATCGTATACTAAAAAGTTGCAGTCAAGAATTCACCGATCATTTGAATGCAATTTGATACCGGCTACAAGTTACAGAAGCGACAAGCGGGTTCACTTTTCAAATAATCAATTCATCAATGGAATCTTTCCTCCTTCAGAAACCTGCGAATTATTCTGAGCGATCCTCGCTTTCACAACACCTTTCAGTTCATAAAATATGGTGCTTCAGCCTAATTTTTTTTTTCACTGCTTTCGGCACAGAACGAAGTCAACGAGCTTTAACCAGTAAATTACAGCAGCTCCAGCTAGCAGTATTTGGACACATTTAAAATTCTTTTTAGGAAGAGCCATCTGAACATGGACGTACTTAAAAATTTTCTTTTCCCTAAAATTGATTTCAAAAGAGACATTATTCGAGCCAAAATTTGATTCCCGTATGGTAAACGCTTATTGGCTAATAACATGACAGGTCAAGGAGACGTTAGATTACGTAAATTAGGGGGCGGTTAACGGCTTGTTCAATGAATGTATCAGGCGTTATTTTTTTTCCTCTCCCAAGCCAAAGAAAAAAAAAANCAAAAAAAAAAAAAAAAAAAAAAAAACGCCTGATCTCAGGTTACTGTGTAGCAGACTAAGCTTTCTCTGGCTGTTACGCCATACTGACGAGCTCCAAAAAGGGCGAAACAGCTGTCTATTGTTACAATCCCTCTCTGTTTTGAGTTTTTGAGTTTTTGAGTTCTTTCGGTGTCGTGTTGATGTCTTGCAAAGTTAATTTTCACGTAGTATGATCAGCATTGCAGTATTCTTCTTGAAGAAATTAATTTGTCTACTTGCCATTTTTGCCGATCAGGTCTTTATAGATCCTACGTTCCTCGGCATATTAGTTTGCGGTCCTTTGCAGTCTTTTGTGGTTAATGTTTTTACTTAATGTATTTTGGGGCCGTAGATCTTTTATATATCCGATATGCTGTGATTCTTAAATGGTTCTGTCCATGTTTTAGAGGTTTGTTTTGCGTGATTCTGTGGGTGTTGAGGGTTCTAGGTCAGGGCTTAAATCAGAGGGCGCGGATATTTTTAATCAGAGCATTCTCTGGTTCTTTCTATGGCTACAATCCCGCTCTGTTTTGAGTTCTTTCGGTGTCGTGTTGATGTCTTGCAAAATTAATTTTCACGTGATACGATCAGCATTGCAGTATTCTGCTTGCAGAATTCAATGTGTCTACTTTTAATTATAACATGCTTTGACAATAAAAAAGACTGCTATTTTGAAAAATTTCGCTAGTTAAAATTTAAGTAGTGTAAGGTAGTTTTTACATTTGTAGGGGCAATCCTGACATAGCATAGAAGTAAAAAGAAGTCTACGATTATTTTTAACAGTTACATACGAATCATTGTAATTAGCACTGTCACAGGTTTTTTATTCTCACAAATTAATATTAAATGACTTGTAGT